TAGTTCTTTTTTGAACCCTATTATAGTCTTAGCCTTTACAACATCCTCTGGCAAAGAATTCCACAGACTGACTGCATTGTGTGAAAAAATACTTCCTTTTGTTTGTTTTAAACCTGCTGCCTATTAATTACATTTGGTGACCCCTAGTTCTTGTGTAATAAAGAGTAAAATAACTCTTTTTTAGGTATCTTAATTATCTAGGCAAGTATCTTTTTGTCTCTTTATTTGTTCAAGTAAACAAAAATATTTATCCTATTGCCATTCTACCACTAAAGGAAAAAGTCACGTTTATGAATAATAATAATAATGGCACTGGGGATATGAAACCATAAAGCAAAATCCCACCTAAAATGTGTTTGTTTCCTTTTATTTCAGCTATGTAGATCTGTGGAAAGTATGCAGGCAAGAGTAGTGGTTTTCATAAGGAAAATGTTTCCATAAGCATTTGAGAACTTTGAGAAAGGCTCCCGAACATTAACGTCAATGGATTTTTGTTCCATACGAAAATCTGAAGGCAAACCTGATATTGGCTGCATCCTACTGGCTTTACTCACCTGAATTCTTTCACTCATGTGAGTTAGGCAAGCAGGATGTGACCCACAATAGTAGAGTTCTGCAAATATGTCATTTCTTCAGGGATTCTTTATTTGGTGACAACTTTCCATATTACAAAATATCCAGCAGACGTTATTTATGGAAGATGGGTTTTTTTAAACAAATTTTTTAGGGCTGGAAGAATTTCACACGATAAGCTAATTTTGAAATGTCCAGGAGGAAGATATTTAATTTCTTGTTTGCTTGTTGCTATGACCAAAGAGAAGAACAAAAACACTGCATTGAAATGTAGATGGGAAACTACAATCTAACCCTGTATGCAAGATTAGTAGAGGCAAAATGCGTATATAGGTAATAAGGTCACAACAATTTTTGCTCCCAGGCTTGGACAATTTGGAACTAATGCTGGTGCAAAAAATATTCTCATTGACTAAACAGCAGAGAACTGGGTTTGTAGTTTTGCATATTATTCTACAGCTCCATTCAACAAGTCTCATCATTAATTGGAAGAACAATATGGCTTGCGCCTACAAGTAAAGCCACTTTTTATATCAATAACAGTGCCTTCTCACAACAACACAATCCATAGAACTCAGTCTTCAAAGAGGAATTAATGCATTTGAGAGGATCTTATTTTTTTTCACCTTTTTAAACATCTTTTTGATACTGAAAATGAAAGTTTGTTTGTGAATTAGGTAGACATGGGTTGGTAAGCACCATTTATGATTTTTGGTCTCCTTTCAAGTACTTAAAAAGTCACTGGGAATACAAAAATCATGACAGATTGCCTGGAAGTTTGCAACAAACACTGGTTTGAAAAGCCTGTAACAATCTCCATCTGTTCATTGCACACTTGAAAAGACTCACAGAGCCTAAACTGTACTACTAAGATACCTGTGATGGCATTGCTTTTCTTGTGAGGATTGTTTAATTTTACTTGTGCTCTTTGGGGACAGGAAAGTTTACTTCATAAATACTTATTAGGCTTTTATTTTGGATAGATACAACCATACAAATGATGGCGGATCCTGAGGTCCATTGACAGTACAGTTTTGTATTCAATAGTATTGTAACATATCTTCTCAGAAGCAAAAAGATGAGAAATCCTTATAAAATAGGCATCAGCTTTTTTTCAACTATGAAGTGTCAGGCAAAAGTGATTTACATACTTTTAAGGCTCTTATCATGTAAACATTCCCACACTATATTTTAAATATGTGAGTAGACTTATTGATTCAAGGCACTGCTCATGTGCTTACGTGTTTTCAGGATCAGCACCTTGGACATTAAGGCTGTGGCTACACTCGAAACTTCAAAGTGCTGCCGTGGCAGCGCTTTGAAGTGCGAGTGTGATCGC